TGCTGGTCCAGATGGAATACCCTGTTATATATATAAGGCTTGCAAAGATATCCTTTTATAGTCCTTACTAATAATTTTTCAAAACTCATTAAGCAGTAGTAAATTTCCAAAAGAATTTAAAATGACTAGGGTAACGCCTATACACAAAAAGGATGATAAGAATTTGGTANACAAGACTAAATAATGGAGCATTATTCCTATAACGAATATGCTGACATGCATCTAATTGGATCTAATGGATAAGCACTCGGCAATTGTATTGAGGCAAGAAGAATTTATTCTGATGCATTTCCAAATCAACGTTTACCGCACAGAACAATTTCTGAAAGGGTTGATCGTAGCTTACGAGAAAGGCGTAAAGAGTCAAGTGAAATAAAAAATGCTAAAAGTAGGTAGCTAATCTTATACATTTTAAGAAGTTTTTTGCCGCATCGTGGTAGAGAAGGGCCTCCAAGAAGAGCAAGAAACCTTCACTTAGAGGAGGAAATTCGGGATGAGATTGCCGAAACTCCCTGCAATAGTGTAAGAAAGTTGTCGGTCCAAGTTCATGCGACAAAGGGGACCGTTCATGAGACCCTTCCAGAACAACTTCTACATCCTTGTCACGTCCAAAAGATACATGAAATGCCTCCCGCTGATTATCCTGCAAGAGTCAATTACGCAAATTGGTTTTTGCAACGATTTAGACAAAATATAAATTTTATTAGTATTGTTTTATTCATGGACGAAGCCGTTTCAATCGAGACGGAGTAACGAATTGCCACAATTTGCATATCTGGCATGAAGAAAATCCCCATGCAATAGTACAGACAAAGCACTAACAAATGGTGCCATCTATTTGCAATTCTTGCAACAAAGTTTAAATGATTTATTAGAAAATGTGCCCTTAGAAATTAGGAATCAGATGTAGTTTATGCATAATGTGCATCGCCCCATTTTAGCAATTTAGTTCAGTCGGCACCTATCAAATACTTTTGGTTAGCAATAGATAGGTCGAGATGAGCCTATTTTATGGCCACTGAAATCGCCCGACATGACTACATTGGATTTCTTTTTATGGGGAAATTTAAAGAGGCTTGTGTATTCGACGCCAGCTTACACCAGGAAGAACCTGATAGAAAAAATAACACACCATTATTGCAACGAAATTCGAGACAATTTTGGAATATTGTTCCCAGTACAACGAGAAAACATCTGTTGGATAAGGAAATGTAAAAAAGGCGACCATTTTGAAAATCTGCTGAAGTAAACAAGAAGAAGAAAAGCTTTAGAATTTTTAACAGCCTTGCGTTTAAGTGATTTGGAAATGTATCAGAATAAATTCTTCTTGCCTCCACACAATTGCCGAGTGCTTGTCCATCTATAAGTTAGATGCATGTAAGCATTAACGAGATGTAATAATAATAATGCCAAATTTTATTATTTTAATACGAATTATTAGTTGTGATGTTATTTCATTATTATTGTGTTTAAATAGCTCATGTTAATAAACTTTATAATTAAGTAAATTAATGTTTAAACATGTTATACAAAAATTGGTGATGTACAAAGTTTCCTATTTTGTAATTGTAAATGTAAACAGCTTTATTTATCTTTGACCTTCCGTGATAATTATTTTTACAATAATTTCTTGTAGTCCGTATTTAGATGTTTTACAGTATTTATTTCAGGAAAACATGACATTACAAACATACGTACCTATATTATTAAATAAATTAAAATTGATATTGGACTTATTAAATTAAATTAAGATAATGAAGTATTATAGAACATATATAATTAAATAAATTTAGTACAACAAAAAATATTCTCGAGGATATACAGCGCCAGCCAAAAGGTTGTAACATATAAAAAAAAACATTTAGACTTCTGAAATTTAATGAAAGTTTTGCCAATTGCTTTTGAATATTTGACAATGTGACTACTGCTTTAAAAAATTGGGAAAAATAAAAAATATGCAATAAAATCGCAAAAACTCGATTTTCCTGATTTGGAACAAATATGCATGCAAGTCTGCAAAGTATTTTGCTAACCTGCTATATACAAAATTTTTCAGTACCAATTGCACAATCCCTAATTAATTTTTCAATGTTTTTTTGTTTTCTGTTACAATTGTCATTTCAAGAGAAAAAAATAGTAGATTGTATGTAATTAAATATTTGTTTCTACCTTCACCTTCCAAAATAATTTAGGTATCTACTTATTGTAAAGTATATATAAAATATAAAATAATCAGCATATAACTGACAAAAAAATTATTTCTGATGCTTTTGCTGAATATTTTAGTTCAGTTTACTACCAGGAGAAATCTACTTATGACATACATTTAATAAAAAATAGTGCACGTATCTGCACGTAATCTGCAGGTCCAGATGGAATACCCTGTTATATATATAAGGCTTGCAAAGATATCCTTTTATAGTCCTTACTAATAATTTTTCAAAACTCATTAAGCAGTAGTAAATTTCCAAAAGAATTTAAAATGACTAGGGTAACGCCTATACACAAAAAGGATGATAAGAATTTGGTACAAAATTACAGGCCCATTACTGTTTTAAACTGTGTGGCAAAACTTTTTGAATTTGTAATTTTTGAAAAGATATATAGTTTTACAAAAAATCTGATTGTGCCTCAACAACATGGTTTTTTCCGTTGCAGGTCAGTAGAAACTAATTTAGCTACTTTTGTTAATAAAATTTATATTGCTTTCAATGAGGGAAAACAGGTTGACACTGTATACACGGATTTTGCTAAAGCCTTTGATCGGGTAGAATAAAATCCTTACATGCACTTGGTTTAAGTGACACGGAACCGAAAACAATTTGTTTGTTATCAGAGTACTGATTCTGAAACATATCTAGCTAGATCTGGTGTACCACAAGGTTCGAATTTGGGACCGTTAATTTTTATAAATGATTTACCACAGAGTATAACATCCGACTGTCTCATGTATGCAGATGATTTAAAACTCTTTACTGAAATCAGTAATATGAATGATTTTTCAAAATTACAAAATGATATAAACGTAATTTATGACTGGTCCGTAGAAAACAAATTGCCCTTCAATTTATATAAATGTAAAGTCATGACGTTTAGTAAAGCACGTACGCCTGAACATTATGTTTATACAATGAATAACAATATTTTGTCTAAAATTTATGACTTTAAAGATCTAGGAATTAACTTTCAACCTAATTTGAGTTTTAAAAACCATGTGAATGAATTTACTAATGCTTCATATGAACTTTTGGGTTTCATTAAAAGAGTAACAGTTGATTTTAAAAATATAAATTCTATTTTATATTTATTTGATACTCTCATTCGTAGTCGTTTAGAATATGGTTCTATTATTTGGGACGCTTCAAAACAGTATCTTAGGGATGCTCTTGAAAAAATCCAAAACAAATTTATAAAGTATCTTTATTACAAAAATATCATATTAGTCCCGGATTTGCTTCCTATGAGCCATTGCGAAAACAGTTTAAAAGAGCTGTAAGTTATAGAAAATAGGAGAATTACACGAAAATTAACATTTTTACATAAAGTGTGTTCTTATGACGCTCCTCATCTATTGTCACAAATAAATCTAAATATACCTGACCACCGTATACGTCCAACACAATTAATTTTTTATGTCAGTTCTAATACTCTTTTTAGTGATAGATGTAATATTTTCAATAGACACAGACATAGAATATCTATAGACATTTTTGATACTACATTAATAACATTTAATAGAGTTATCCGTAATATAGATTTTACTTGAAATTGATTGTCCTGGTTCAATTTTCCCGGCTGCTCCCTTGTTGCAATTTATTTTGAATTTTATTTTGTATTAAGTAATTTAGATATGTGCATGTATATACATTTCTTTTTTTTTTTTCTAGAAACATGTAATTAGGTTGTTTCTAACCTGTTTGTTTCTTATTCAAAATAAAGAAATAAATAAGTAAAGAAAAATCATAATCACATACCACAAAGTCAGGCTAGTAATTGTAACACTAAGTACAACGTGTCAAAAAAGAATTTTTTTCTACCAAATTTAGAAAATATTTGCTTATGTTATATTTATGTTTATGTTCATTTTTAGATATTAGTGCAGTCCTTACGATATTTGTTGAGATAGAGTAGAAGACCCCTGCGTTACTTTCTTGAAATTAACCGCATTCGACGCCCGAGGTAGAAAGACATTGACGGCGTTTCGGTAACAGCTTGCAGTGCATACTATTTTGTAGTTACGAAGGCGTGTTTCTTCATAAGTGTATCATCCTGTGCATTTTCAGGGTAATTTTTTATTAAAATAAATCAGTGGAGATGAAAAATAAAAGAAAGGAATTTAATCCCCTGTCAAAAAGTATCGTGCTTAACATGCATAATTATTTTAAGACAATTTCTCAAAATGAAAATTTCAAGGCACGCCCCTGCCGCGGTAAATTGTTACAGTAGTTCCGATAACAGAACTTTATTGGCTCATTCTTTTCTCGGAATTCTATCTCAACAAATATCGTACGTACTCTACCACATGTATTAAAGTTTAAAAAATATATGTTTCTAAGTATCTTCTAAATGGATGGTACATACTGACGAAGTGTTTAATGTGAAAATTTTTATCTTATTTTAAACTTGTATCGCAGGCAGGCAGAAAGAAATTTTTGAAATGCAAACTTCATTTTGAATGAAAATTATCTCTTGACTATTGCAAAACTAATTTTGCCATTGTGGAACGAATTAGCAATATATAAAAATGAGTATTGTAAATACTATAGCAAATAAAATAGTTATTAAACTTCACAAAAAAGTTATCAAAAATGAAGAATGCTCTGTATCTCTGAAACTAATCAAGATAGTGAGATATAATATCTACGGCTTAATTTTTCTAGACTAGAAAATCGAGCCTTTAACTTATTACCTATTTTATTGTCTATTTTGATTTTGATTGATTTTTTTATATTACAAAATAAATTCCTAAATCAATATGAAACAATTCCTCACATTTTTAGTCAAACTACACAAAGTTGGCAGAAACATGTAACTTATGGAGAAACTGGGACGATATAGATGACGCATGGTCTAATGTAACAAATATTCTCAATTGGTTCAGTAAAAATCAAGATCGTCTTGCTAAATTTTCCGGACCAGGTCATTGGAATGATCCTGACATGGTAAGTAAAGGACAAGTGCTTCACAGCACTAAATATTTTGCAAGCTTTTATTTAACTTCAGATGTATGTTTGTATGCATGTTTAGTTCAAATCTTGCAAGTCAAATTTTAACCACTTCCTCTAAACTTACGACTCGAATATGTAATAATATAATTATAATAAATAATATATAACTATTTCATTTTGCAACTAAGGTTAAAAAATAAAAAGATCAAGTCAAGATTCGTTGAAAAACAACGGAGTTACAGACTGTCAAAGTTGACGGCCTATTGTTAAACAAAATAAGTTGGTAGCGGCAAAAAACAAAACTGTTATAACAGGCAACCTGGGTACTTTCCCAGATAAAAATATTTTATTTGTGGATGTATGTTAAGTGCATAAGAAATATTGTTAAAAGTCAGTGGGTCGCTTGATTTTTCGGCGAGCAGTGGCGCGAAGGAAGGGTGGGGGAAGCGAACGACAGCGAGCCCGAAGAAAATGACGATAATATTCATAGTCCTGCCGTTAAAATAACGAAATTCGCTTGAAAATAATATATTTGACAGTCTGTAACTCCGTTGTTTTTCAACGAATCTTGGGATTTTTTTTTAACTTAAAGCTCTTTTCATAAACTTTCCGAATATGTAATAATATATAACTATATCACGCTCGTGCGTCGTATATTTCATTTTGCAACTAAGGCTAAAAAATAAAAAAACTTTCCAGGTTGCAAATTTGAAATTAAAAAAAAATATAGATTTCAATGTATTATTATGAAATCTACCATGAAAAAAATCAGTGCGATTGTGGAAGATGGTCGGGATCGTCCAGACTAATAATTAGTTAATTTGTTTATAAGGCCATAACTTGTAAACTATTCAACTTACCGAGTCCAGATTTCGTGTGAGTTATTAGACAGTGATAAGGAATGAGATGTTGCGATGCCAAAACGTTCAGGTAATAATAACGCAGTTTATAAATGTTTAATTCAAAAGTCATAAATAAACTTCTTCTGTTTATAACTATTGATCTAATCAATTTTTTTGACGCTCGAGGGCTAGTTTTGTAGGTCCTTTGAAGACGAAAATTAACGGAAAAGTTATAAGCGAAAAACGTGAATTTACGTAAAAATTATACGATTAACCACCCTGTAAATAATCTTCCCCCCATTTTTATGACTGTGGAATTCAGCTTGCCGAAACAAAAAGTCGCGAAATGGTAATTTCCCAGCTTTTTCTCCTGGCCTAAACTGATCAACACAGAATACAGAAAATACATCCTCATCCCATAGTTTTTTGTCTTTCTTTTTTTGTTATTCATTGTTGAGATAAAGATCTGGTTTTGCAACATTTTTCTTATTTGCGAGGCATCAAATATCCCGTTCTTTAATTTTGCATCGGAGATTTATAAGAACTGTATTATGTAGGTATTCGAAATTTTTTCCATATAATTTTAAGGTCAACTATATTCTCCAATAATATTATTTTCACCTTTCACAAGGTGAACGTTTTCATTAAATTTGAAAGAAATAAGCTTAGACATTAAGGTCGTTAATATGGAAATATGATGACCGATCGTTCAAAAGGAATAAAATGAACGAGGAATACTTTATCACAAGAAAAATTAAATGGAAATATTCTTCCGATGCAATTGATTCGGATGTACATCTATTTTTATATTTTTCCAATAGTGTAATGACCCCAAGTAAACTTTTGGATTTGGGCATAGGTATAATTTTTACTTCGTCTGTTTGGGTTATACATGAATACTTCTAGTAGGTCAAAAAAGAACCGAATTTTAAACAAAAAATAATAGGCTGCAACAAGGTCAAAACCTCGACTTAATCCATGAAAACTGAGATCAGATTCATATTTACATGGTTAAAATACATGGAAATGGAGTGGTCTAGTGTTTAAAACGAATTACTTTTTTTTGTGTGGCGGTGTAATTATTTCCGTCAGTGCGTAAAAACAGAATGATCAATTCTCAGAGTACCTACCTACATTGTTATGCAACCAACGTTTCATAATTTGTATAAAGATGTGTGGTTGTATGAAAGGAGTTCACCTTTTAAAATATGTCAAAGCCACATACATCAGAACTACTATTTTTTAAAATCTAAAATATTGGAATCCGGCGACTAGTACCGGTAATTATTGAACCAATTAGTATATAAAATATAGTTAATAAATTCGTATATACAGGCTGTCTATTATAAGAGGGCCACTCCAATGTATCTCGCTTAATACACGATGCACGTCAAAAATCTTTATATATTAAATCTTTTTGTTGCATTTTTTGAGGCATTGATGCTTGTAAAAACAAATATCGAGGGTTTCCTGCCAGAAGGGCGTATCAACCTATGTACATACAACCTTCTGCTAGGTTAATCGAGGTAATAATTGTTCATACGACCAAGAAAAGTATTGCGTGGCGCTGTCATTATTGGTGTGGTTGGTAGATACGACTTTTTGTCGCGACAAACTTATGGTATTGGGTAGCAAAGTTAGCTCATAAACCCAAAATGGCACCTTTTGGCAGGAAACCCTCGATATGATATCCACGGCCAACTTTATGAGCAATCATAAAAAAACGGAAAACTACAGAAAGTCTAACTTTTTTATTTTAAGAGATAGAGAAAAGTTATTTTCATAAAATTTCATGGCATGGCACAAAAAAAAATTGTCATCGAAACAGGCTGTGAATACAAAAAAATACTTGCTTTTTCCTCTTTCATGCGATGTACTACATGTCGCCTTTATCTTATGTACATTGTAACGAATTGGAAATATTTATGAATGAAAAATTACCTGACCGAACTTTGGGTCATATACAAAAATTTGACTATTATTATAGCAACAACAAAATAGTATAAAATTGTTAATATAAATATTCTGAATATAAAACCAGTAATAATTAAGGATATCACATAGTATAAATTAATAATTGCTACCCGCTTGTGGGTGGTAAAATAAAATTTCAATAGATTTTCCTTTCCAAGGACAATAAGGCTCTCTCCAACGATAGGGTTGGCCCTAACTCAGCTCAGCAATGGGGGTGGGGTTGATATAACTGAAAATAATTCTCTTAAGGCGCCACCCGTTTTACAACCCGATGGACAGTACGCAAGAATGCTGGAGAGACGCCGAAACCTTTCAGTACGAAAAAAAAACGGGAAAAAGATATAAATAAAAGCCCTAAGAAAGCAATTATTCAAACAGTAACTTTAATTTATTTAAATGGCCGGTGCCTAAAGTATCTGACCACGGCTACAGTCGCTTAATTAATCTAGTTGTCAATATCGGTCGATTATACACCGTTTAGATAGGTTTGGCAAAATAGTGCTAATTAAGTATATGTAATCAAATGGTCACAGGTAAAGATAACCCTCTCCGATAGCGCTATTACGAAATTCCAAAGAAATAAATTACATAAAACTTATGTCTTATAATTCAAATTAAGTGCCTAATCGTATAAATATTATTTATATTTTCCTTAGATTGTATGGAAACAATGTTAAGTAATGTGTAAGCGAATAAAGGTCATTTAAATAGTAACAAGGGCAAGTATCGGTGAGTTCAGCGTAAACAAAGAATGAATATTATTAAAAGTTTTGTAAGTGAACCTAAATTTCATTAAGGATTGTCGTTACCTATACCAAAATAATGTAAACTTATAAACTATAACAAAAGAACAGGGAAAAGGTCAGCACGAATTGTAAATAAATAATTTATGTAGGTACCTTATTAAAAAAAAATAACTAACAAATTACCTAACAGTACGCCAAACTAAATAACAAAAAAAAACTGTCGGGTTAAGTACTAAGTACTAATCTCTAACAAGGTGAGTAAAGTAGTTATCTGGTAGCGGAATGGAATAAGTATAATAAGTTAGTATAATAGCATAGGCGGTGATAATTGCTACCACGTAAGCTAAATTTCCAAATAAAAGATCACGAAGCCTGGCAGCAACTGGGAGTTATGTAAGGCGAGTCTTGGATAGTGATACTGCTCTCCAGTGCAGATAATAATCCAGCCAAAGCGAGGAGTAAGCCTGCGTTGTGTAATCAACGTCCGGAATTACGATACCTTGAATTTCCAATGGTAATTAATCACCCGGTATATGAGGCCGAAGTAGGAAAACACCCAGCACACTAATATCGACGAAGATGGTGACGTTGAGGGTGAGAGTGCGAATATAATGAGATGAAATTGAAACAAGTACGAGGGGAAAACAAAAGACAAGCATGTCTAAGTAGGTTTCACGGTGGGGTAGAGATACAGAAAATTAGTGAAGATTATTTAAAGCTTTACCTTTGTTGTAGGGCGGCCTCGTGGTGAATGGTACCTTATGTCGGGTTTTATGGGCACAAATCCAACCAACACTGGATTCACCAGAACTAACAAAACAAATTTTTGCCCACAAAATGCAGCAAGATCCGCATAAGCGATATTTATCGTAACGAGAACACACGCTGCTAAGTAGACAATTCTCTTTTGTCTCTAGCGACGAAGAGCACAGGAGGAAGTAAGAAATGCCTGAGATCAACAAAAAAGGAAACAAAAAGTCCGTTCGGCCGTATATCGACAGGGGACTTTATATTTACCTACCCACGATAATTTAATGAATTGAAATATTTTGGAAAAAATATAACAAGTTAAACCATACCATAATATTTATTTAAAATCGAAAATACTTAAATACCCTAATTTACCTAAATACCTAGCTATTTTTAACAGGGACTAATATAAATTTAAATAAAATAGTAAGAAAAAAATAATCCCGTAACATAATATTTTAATTTAATTCACAAGTACAAAATAAATTTTTCACAAAATGCATGACATCAACACTTGTTAGCACCCAGTACATAGAGAGAACAGAATTTAAACCTAGAGTGACGTATATCAAATAAAAGTCCAATATCTATAGATAAATCTGGTATACATAGCCTGGGAAGAGAAGTAAATGCATAGAAGATATTTCAATTCAACTTAAGTCATAGCTTGAAATTTTTTTAT